GGCGTGTCTCACTGTGAGGTCCCGCCTTATGGCCCCTGTCCACATCTCCCTCGGGTAGTGTTCACCAGAGTTCCCCAACCTTAGGGGCCATGTCTGACACCCATGAATCTGGTTTTTGCCCCGTTCCCTGCTTCATCATCTTTCCCACATGCTCCGAGTCCTTACATCAAGCCTTGGTTAGTAGCAGGTTTCAGAAATCAGGAAACTGAGGTTTAATTCTTTCCCCACCCCAGACTTGAAGTGGTCAGCAGGGCAGTAGTGGTGTCTACCCTATGGCAGCGGGTCTCTGGCTGGAGGAATGGCCCGCGTGGTCTCTGCTCCCCACTTTCTTCTGCAGAGGAAGGCAGGAAACAGCATCGACTTTTAGAGCTGACCACTGCCACCAGCCATGCCTTCTTTATCTGGTGTTGACCTCCCTGGAAACATACCACTCTCCCCAAGGCTCAGGGCCTGCAAGGTTCTCTACTGGGCGTCCTCTCTCTGCTTCCCACCACACCACTGTCAAGCAGCTCACTACTTCAACATGAAATCTGCCGACGGTAGAACTGCCTTCTCCACAAGGCTTCCAATTAGCTTCTCTCTATGCCCTCAAGGACATGGAGTCCAAGGCTGGAGCTGCACAAGACAAGGTTGTCTCCACCATTTGGCAGAATGTCAACAACCGGCAGAGCCCTCTTGAGGCTACCTCTCTCGGGAGACTGCCGCTGAGTCTGCAGGAAGGGTTGGGGTTGTAGATCTCTTCCTCCTATTTGCTTATTTCCCTATTTTCCAGCCTGTGTGCAGTTCTTCCTCCTTGTGGCCTTGTCCTGGAACCTGTCATAGAGGCGGAGGGTAAGGCAGGTCCTCTGAGGCAGAGCTCAGCTTATTTCTGAGGCATTGGCACAGCTGGAAATGAGGAATGTGGCAGGAAGGAGGCCTCACTGGAGTCGGTGCTGGGGAACACTGATCACTGTCTCCAGAGCTGAGGTTCTGATAGGAGGAGACGGTTCCCTCTGCTATCCAGGATTAAGACACAACTTTTAACCCTGTGATCTTTCTGGGCCCCAGTGACACCAGTTACCTTCTCCCTCCGAGACTCCATGTCCACATCTATGAATGAATGACCCGACGGGGCTAGGCATCCTAGAATGTTTTCTATGCTCTCACAGATCCTCTGGTGCAGCCAACACTGCCAGTAGGTTCCTGTGGGACTCGCTTGCTGGACAACCCCATTTGGTTTCTGGCTGGAAATTTAGGTGCTGCCTTTTCAAGTGGACAGTCAGACAGACACCTCAGTAGCTGTGGATGGAGAGTGGACAAAGGGCCAGAAAGCCAGGAGTTAGACTCTGAGGACAAACTATTTACTGGACAATGTAGGGTAGTCCTTCACCTTTCGAAGTCTCTCCTGCCCAGCCCTGCCTCATGGGCAGAACCACTGAGCAAACCGAAAGTAAGTTACATGCTTTCAAATACACAACTGAAGATAATTACTGCAATTTCAAAACAGAAACAGCCTGCACCCACTGCCGTCTATACTCTATGACCCTCTGCTGTCCTGTAACTGTCCAGGTCTGGACCTAGAAATCTTTACTGAAGAGTCTCCCCTTGAGGCCAAGAAACTAGGAGATCTGGCCAAGCCAGTAGGCCTAGCCAAAGCCAACCAACCTGCTTGCCAGATGTGAGGTCTGAGTTAAGCTGTAAGGGGGGAAATGCCGCTGCTTGACTGTGTGAAGTCCATCGGGGTTTAGAGCAGAAAACCAAAGTTGGGAGACTGACTAGTGCAGACCGCACCAATCTACTGATGAGGACAAGCAGGAGCCAGCAATAGAGAGCACCGGCACAAGGTCATTCAGCAAGCACGTGGCCAAGTCCTCTGTGCCCTTCTCCCGAGTGCCAGTCCTGGATACCCAAGCTGGCCTTTGCTCAGACTTTGTGTGGTCAGAACTCCAGGTCAGCACTTCAGGGCTGGCAAGACCTCTGTTCTGTAGCGTGAATGTCACAAATAAACTTGGTTCAAACATGTCCTGTTTTCCAGTCTAGTACTGCCAGGTACTAGATTGTTGACCCACCCTGGCTAGACTCTGCAAGGCCTCCAAGAACTCCCCCATTTGGATACTAGGTCAGTATCCAAATCACACATATCTCCCATCACTCCACAGGCCTAGATGACAAGCGCTGCCATCTCAGAAACCTAGACCCAAAGGAGAGACAGCAAACAGGGAGGGCCTCTTGCATTGGTTGGCCCAACCTTCTAACTGCACGAGTGGCCTTCCTGCCTGGCAGTCAGGAGCCTAAAGGAGGAAGTTCCGTGTGCTTTTTTCTGAGGGGGCCCCATAGGCAGCAGTCAGCTGTTCCCTCCCGACTACCCTGGAGGCCCTAATGGTTTCTAAATTTAGGGCCAACTGGTGTTAAGAATTTTGACTTGGAAAAGGTGTATGAAACTGCAGGACAGGGGCTGGACAAAGCTGGCCCAGCCACCTGGGCTGGCTTCCCAGGACACAGGCCTCTCATGGCACAGCCACCTGTCCAGGCTGCAGCCAAGAAGAGAAGTACAATTGTTGACAACAGATAAAACTCTCGATATCATCTCTATTTTCCTTCCAATATCAGAGCGGCTGCCTGAGGACAGTCAAGGGCGGCAATCAATTGCTAATATTCCTGTCGAGGGATGCTCTGTTCCGGAAATGGGCTGTCACCTCCTCCTTTAGAGAGAGATGTCCTTTCTCTTTGCAGGGGCCCAGGCCAAGTGGTCAGCACTGAGGACAGCAAGCACCATGCAGAGTGCCTGGCCTGCCCCACCTCCCTTCATCTGACCGACGGGGAATAAGAAACATGAACTGTTCAGAGTCGGTGGGAGAGCAGAGAGGCTCAGGCACCAGAACCTTCCTGAATGACCCAGCCAACCCTTGGCAGAACCTTGCCTGGGGAACAGAGATGATCTCAAGGCAAGAGTCTAAAAGATACCTCTGTTTTAACAGTGGCTGGCAGTGGCTAAATAAGGGCAGGAATCAGTCTGGGCTTTCTGACCACACACCCCCAAACGTCATAGGGGAGGGCCTGTGAAGTATGACTGGAATTAGAACTTGACCATGGAAGATTATAGCAAAGCAGGAAGCTGGGAGTTGCCCGCATATCAAGCAGAGCATTCCTTGTCTTAGGCTGAGGCCAAAATAGAAGTCAATGGCCTATTTTTAAAAATACAACTGGCAGTTTAGAGCACTTGTTGCTCTTGTGAAGGATCCAGGTTAGGTTTTCAGCACCCACAAGTGGTTCCTAACTATCCACACCTCCAGCTCTTAGGGATCCAGCGCTCTGCCCTGATCTCCACTGGCATCAAACACATACACGGAATACATCCATGTATGCAGGCAAAACACTCACTTGCATAAAATAAAACTTTAAAAACATATTTAATTTGTTCAAACAAACAAACAAACAACAAACAAACAATCCACTTCTGGATAGTGGCCTATTGTCCACTTCTGAGATAGTACCCTCCAATGGGTACCTGGGAGACCTGGATGCACTCTGCCTGTTGGTACTGTATCAGGGCAGAGATCTGTGAACCAGACAGAGAACCACTGAGCAGAACCACAGTAGGGGGCCCCTCGAGATCCTTGTCACCCTCTGGTAAAGGCCAGGGTCCACACAACTATTGTCTTTCTTTGATCAACAGGTCCCAGGTATCTTACTTAAGCTCCTGCTTTCCCTCAGGCTCTCTTCCTTTCGTCTGTAGTCTTACCCTACGACTTCTGAAGCCGCTCCCGTCTCCACCACTGGGACAGGGCCTCAGTTTTGGTGGTACGCTGGCAACACACACAGATCCCCCTGTGACCACCCGACGCCCTGGAACATCATCCCTGTACCTCTCTCTTCTCACTGCCAGATGATGAGCAGTCCACTATTTCTGTTTTAGGGGATGAGCGAATTTCACTGAGGTCCTTCTCGGTGGGTAACGTGCCCTAGCCCTCCTCTTCCCATATTCACCGGGAACTAAAATGTGCAGTCTCAAGAAAGGGGAAATTCTCCCAGGTTGCATCCCAGGAAAGAGGGAGAGGAGCCCCAACGTTTCCACGCAGTGCCAATCCTGTCTTTGTTCCTGACTCCAAGGCTTCCATCCTGGGGCCCCTATGCTCCAACTTTGCCCTCCTGGGCTTTCCACTGAGAGCTCTCTCCACAACCTTTAGACGGTGCGGACAATCAAGCACTTCTCCATCTTAGTGAGCTCCACCAGGAAAGCCTCTCTCACTAGGCCCTGCAGGCTAAGGCTGACAAGCTCTCCAAGGCAGCACTCCTCCCGGCCCTGACTTGGCTGAAGAGGAATGAACACCAAAAGGGAAGGGAGGGGATGAAAAAGGAGGTGTGGAGGGGGTGGTGGCCACACCCAACCCTGACAAAACAGAAAGGTGATTTCACACCTCCTGTACTCCTAGCCTTGCCAGAAAGACCAAGGAGGTGTGTTGAGGAGGTGGAGCTTCCACCCCAGTTGGGATCCCTTCCTGCCTGCGGGCAGGCAGGCAGAGCGAGGGCACAGATGCTCATGATCGCATTCGGAAAAAAAATCAGTGGTTAGCCAGAGCGAAAGGATGTTGAGATCGGCCAGAATGGTGGGGCTTTTGTTTTTCTAGTTACGCCTAAGGTTTGTAGTTTGGACAGGAAAAGTAAACAACAATGATGACAGCAGCAACAGAACAGAAACAAAGGACAGTTTACTCACTAAAAGGGGGAAAGACAAAGAATACGTCTTTTGTTATAAGCAGACTCCACATCGGCCTGGGAGCACTAACCTCTCTCCGCCCCCACTCCTAGGTTGGACAGAAGGGCACCGCCACAGCCTGCCTAGGTACACACCATCCCAGCTCTTTTCTTCCCTTACACAGCTTTTGGAGAAGTGGATGAGATGAGGGCTCAAGGCCTCAACCAGCACACATGGACTGTATTTAAACCATGGCAAACCAAGCAACTTTCCTGCCCTCCTCCCCTCCCACCTGCCCAGCACAGGGCCCCGGGCCAGTACGTACCTGAAAGAAACCTGGTGGGATGGGGCCTCCGGGCATCCCATCATTGGGGGGAATGTTGCCAAGCACAGGGCTTGGGGCAGCTGCTGCACTCTGCGGAGACAGAAAGAGGAGGTCAGCGGCAAACATCCATCCACACACGGAGCTTTTGGTCCCTGCCCTGAACACACTCTTCCCCCTCAAAGGCCACTTTCTATACAAAGCCCCGCAGAAGTATTATTCAAGGGGCAAGTCATGGGCTCTAGGACCCCAGTGCTTCAACTCTAAAATAGGGACAGGGGCCAACGTCGACCTTTAGGCACACTGTGAGGGAGGGGTGTTTGTGTGTGGAATAGGGATACGGGAAAGGTACTCCTGCAGTAGCTGGCGGAGTGGCAATGCGCATGCACAGTGTCCACTGTTGGCAGCACACCTGGCCTTTCCACCAGCTGCTCTAAGAAGCTGGGGGGACAAATTTCATAAACAGTGGTGCCCTCTCCAAATTGCTGACAGGGTGCACAGAGCAAGTCAATAAATATCCATAGTTTACTGAATAGGTGACAGGCCAGTAAGGAAACACCCAGGTTAGAACGAAGGACGTATGTGTTCTGACCCTCATTGGGACCCAAATGCCTCTTGGGAAGAGTGTGGGTTCCACAATGAGAGACAGTCGTTACTCTTCTTGTTGAATGCTGCTGTCCTGGCATCCACTTGGTACATCTGTCTCAACAAATGCCTCCTGGAGTGGGCAGACTTTGGATGTCTGGCCACCTTCCAACAATCGTGTCCAACCTGCTGGCGCGCCTGGCTCTGTACGCACACAAACTTGAGGCTGAGATGCCACAGCCCTGCCTTGAGGAAGTCACAGATCTGGGCCTTCCCACCTGAGTTTGCTCCCTGTTTTCTCTACGAAAGCTCTATGTCCCTACTGGACCAGGCTGGCCTTGAACTCATAGTTAATCTCCTGCCTATGGGATTAAGCTGCACTTTTTTGGGATGCCCAACAACTACCCCTCCGAATCAGGAGCAAAAAGAACACTAAAAGAGAGAGGGTTTGAGATAAGAATCCACGCATTCCTTGGGTGCTTGAGAAAGAGGTGTTGCATTGAGCTCCCTCGTCCTTCATAGACCTCATTAACTGACCACTGACTAGAGACCTGGAATCACTGCTACCTTGATAGGATCTCTAATATTTTGACTAACATTTTGGATTAGTACATTCTGAAGTGGTTTGCCCTGGCAACTGTAGTTCTATTTTCACAATACAATATCCAATTCCCTTGTTATTTGGGTATTTGACTTTTTACCTATTGAGGTATTTGTTACAGTGTGTGGGGGGGAACGATGACAAACTTTTAAATGAAAGGCTGAACCCATGAGTACACCGCTGTTTCCCTTTCAGGTACAGCTCACCCATGACGAGGAGTGGGTGAGAGGCCAGGGCAGCCACGGCGGTGCTAACTAAGCCAACAGCAGAGCTCTTGGCATTTCACCATCCTCCAGTGCTGACAACAAAGGCGACCACGTCAGCCATGAGGAAGAGGCTGGAGGTCGGGAGCTGGCTTCTAGCATGAAAAGCCTCCTCCAGCAGGCAGGTGGAGGAACTCTGCTGGTTGCGGGATGGTCACTTAAAGGCTTGGAAAAGCAGCAACTGGGGCCATTGCTAAGAGACTGGGGAGGGCTCAGGAGAAACTATTACAGACCCTGACCAAGGGGACCTGGTCTATATCTGACCTGCCCTCATCCTCCCACACCGTAACCACAGGGGCTGCTTATCTATGCCCAAGACCCAGCACAAGGTGAGGCATACAGCAAGTGTTCAATAAATGATTACTTTATTACTCAAGGACCTGCTCAAACCTGACCACTTGGAGCCAGACCTTTCAGGGCTGCTAAGAACAGGCCTCTCCCTGTGGTTTTGAGTGCTGAGACTTCCATTAAGGCACTCAACAAAGCGTCTCGTGTGAGTTTTCTCAACAAACCCAAACCCCTGGCACATTCTCTAGGCCTATAGCATAACAAACTGCACAGCTGCCTAGGACGAAACACCCACACATGAATCAAGGCAGAAAGGACAGTAGACCTGAAAGGCCAGGACCTCCCACCTCAGACTCAGGTCCCGTCAGGTGTGGGGACTCTGCTCCCTAAGGTCTGCCCATAGGGGTCCGTACAGGCTGGAAAGAGGATGGAAACAGAGGAGCATGCAGGATGAAGCAGCAACCCTCCCTGTATCTAACCCTTCACTGGCTACAGAACACTCAAAGATTAAAAGGCACCTGAGACCTGCCTGTCTCTAGACCCTACACCTTCCTCTCCAGCACCCATTCTAGCGTGAACATATGGGGAAAGGAGAAAACACACACATACACGTATGCACACATATATGGATACATGCCCTCAGATTCATAGATTCTTACATTTGTACCCATCAAGTTCCAGGAAAAATGAATAAAGCCAGGGGTGGTTCAGACTGTTCAATGGGTAAAGGTGCTTGCTGCCAAGCCTGACAACCTGAGCTGGACCAGAACCCACATAGGGCAAAGAGAGAACCAATTCTCCCAAACTGTCCTCTGACCTCCATGTGCATGAAGTGCCTGCCCCCATAAAATAAATAAATACTTATTTTTCTAAGTGGTCATATGATCCCTAGATTCTCCCAGGTCAGCCAAACACTCCTGATTGAATAATAGGGCAACAAAAATAGTACTTTATCGTACAGATTCTTCCCTTCTTGACCTTCCCAACTCTCAGGCCTTGCCATATAGCAGCAAAGCCACATGTGAAACTACCAACAGCAAGCCTTCCTTGACTGAAATTCAAGCCAGGGGCCATGTGGCAGAGGGCCCAAGCCAGCAGGGAGTAGGTGTGGTCCTGTCTGAAATGGCCCCTGGGTAGAGCAGGAGACCCATGCTGCTCCCAGCAGGCAGTGCCCCAAGAATCTATGCAGAACCCTGGGCTAGCCTGGTGCATCCCAGCAATCACAACACTGAAGATGCACAGCGGGCATTCAAAGGATGGAGAGGATGTCAGCATCCCACAGAAAGGTGAAACCAGAGCAGTGGCGATTTAAGACGTGCAAAGTGGTCCCTTGGTCTCCAGAGACCCCGGGACTGTGGATTTTAGTGGAATGTGCATTCGAATTCTGCAGCTCAGAGAAATCAAAGCGCTGATCTACAAGAAGAGACAAAAGAAACTGGTGTGGGAAACAAGCCCCAGCGACATAGGGTCCCCGGCTTCAAACAGACAGGAGGCTAGCACATGGGAAGAGTGTGAACACATCTGCCCAGCACCAAGGAATGGCTCTGGGTCCAACAACAGATCCAAGCTACACAAAGCCTCCTTGATCTGTATCCCAGGCTGCCTTGGAGGGCTGGAGCAACCTGGGTTCCTCACTAGTGACAAGGCAAAGGGAGATTGCTATATTGCCTACTGCCGTGTAGGGTGTCCTGGGAATTATCATGGGAAGAACTCTGGACCAAGGGTCCTCAATGCTTAGCTCTGGCCACAAACCACCCACCAATGCACGAGCCTCTGGCACACAAAGCTGCTGAGGGTTCTGTCATCCCCGGGCCACCTGAGCCCTTTACCCAAGCACCTAAGGAAAGGCGACAATGCACATGAAAGAGGCCCAAGCAGCCACAGCCAGGCCACTAAGCTCAGGGGAGGCAGAGCTGCACATGTCCTATCCCTCAGCAGAGGATTAACGCAGGGACGGACGGATTTTTATTCTGATCCCATAAACCAGAGACGGGGGAAGTGGGAAGTGTTTGTGCCCCAGCGTCCTAGGAAGCTGCCGTTTCTGGTTTAATCTGTAAGGAGACTGGGTCTTATGGTAACACAGTTAATAATTAGGTCTGACTTTAGTCCCTACATGTCTGATCTCAGAATCAGGAGACCCAAGGACCAGTCTTCGCAGCAGGCCCTACAGTTCTCAAGAAAAGCTGTATACTTTTTGGCTCGTGAAGAGAAACAGCAGACAGATCATTAAACCATCCAATAATCACAATTCCTTCTGTGACTGAGGTCACCTGTGTGTTCTGAACATTCCCACGGAGGCTGACCTTCTACTTGGCCCTCTCTGTCAACTACTTCAGAGAGTGTCATTTGTGAAGAAGCGGGGAGTGAAACTGTGAAAGTAAGATCCCTCCACAGGGCCTGTGGACCTAACTTGCAAGTGGCCTGAATGGAAGAAGAGAAATGAGGCCAGTGGGAAGTAAAGGGGCTGCAGGGCTCGTACTCCACAAGCATTCTGGTGACCAGCACCCACCCACAGGCTGGGAGATGACAGGGTGCGGTTTGGTCTGAAAGGTCTAGAAGATGAAGTGAGTTGTGGTGATGGCGGAGGCTGAAGGACATGGAAAGGTGCTCCAGGCAGGCACTAGAACAGAGATTAGGGGGATCAAGGAGGCTTTAAGGAAGAGGTGGCACTCAAGCCAGGGCCTTACAGGATAGCAGGACTCAAAAGATACAGGAGATCCAGCAAGAGATTAACTGCTGACATCTTAACCCTCTCTCCCAGCACGGGGCTCCTGAGGCGTCTTTCAGGGCACAAATCCCCACAGTGCCTTGTCTATCTAGGGCCCACTCCATCTCCAGACAGGTGTGGACATGAGCTCCCTTCTCCCTTGCCCAGTAGGAGGGGCTTCCTTCATATGAGAGGCCAACTGCTGCCCAGAATGGCTGTACTATTCTGTGCTCTTGACCCTTTGCTAGCCTATGGCTACACATAAGAAAATGCAGGTCTCCATGAGACCTGTCTGAAGTTTCAGGGCTCAGAATAGGAGATACGCTGTCAGGTCCCAATGGGCTGAGACCATGGTGCCTGGTAAATCCCAGCTTCTCCCCTCCCAGTTTGGAGCTGGATATTACTGGCCACCTAGAAACTGAGGTCTGTATTTAAGTGCTAATGCTCTGAGTCACCAGAACTGGGAATACCTGGACACCTCACATTGCCTCACTCGGTCCTTCATGGTCACACAGAGAAGAAAGGAAACCTTGTTCCCTTTTGGGACAACCAGGGGAGGGATCCTGCTGGGTGGAAAAAGCAGGTGCTAAGCAATCGGAAGCTCTGAGCACTGATACAGAAGCGGACAGATGACAGGAAGGCCCAGTTT